TTAACTAAGTGTGGTAGTGGGTTTACCATCTATGAGACAAGAAGTTCGTGTATTGTGAAGTTCCAAGAGTACCCATGCTTCAGTTAGTCTGGTGATAGACGTTTTCCAGTACCTATATACACCTGTGAGGAATGCCCTCTATTGACAAACGTTGGAAATCTCGGTATGGGAATCAAGACCCACCATGGCAGAATCAACATCCTCTTGCGGTGGTGTATCTACATTGGTTGGATTCATGAACATAGTGCAAACCTTCGTGGTGATTTCCATACGGCGTGACGCTTGTCCGGCGACCACCCATTACATGAACCTCCTAATTGCGATCATATCGTTTCCCGAACTATAAACTTAATAACCATCTTTCCAAGTCCTGATATTCAAATTGCAGACTAGTTACAATATTGTCGCGTCCTTGGTCGTTGAACCTTGGAAGCTTTTAGTTCAATGAGAGCCCCTCTCCTTTCAAAAGTTCGGATCCACGTGAATCTCGGCGTCCGTGGGCGTCTGCCCGGAAGCTCGTCGCAGGATTCCGGTGAACTCCCGGCGAAGGCCCTTGACCGTCGTCGACGAAAAATATATGGCGCACGCGAACGCCAGGAAACTCGCTCCCGGTACAGCCCCCACGTAACGTGACGCATGCACGCCATAACCGGACCGGCGGGTTTTTATTATTTCTTGCATATAATTAGGTGGCGTGCCTTATACCACCTTAATGTGGCTCGAACGAGCTACTTAAAGCCATAAACACCGAACGTACATTTGCCGCGTTAACGAGCTTTTATTCCGCGAGAGTATGCGGGGGAGTTTTTGACCTTGCTCGAGAGGGGGCAGTCGTCACCCGTGATAAGAAGCCGGTTACAAAGTTGCCGCTGATAATCTGTACCGAGCTGCGATACGCCTAATTCTGTTGGCCGACCGTTTTTGGTTTATGTTTTGTGTATTTTGTTTTAAAACAACATCCATTAGTGCTGTTTAATGGCCGGGTTTGTTTTAAAGGAGCGAATTTGTTTTTATTAACTTTGCGTGAAGTTACATTAAATGCGAGTTGAGTCTGACCCGGACAAAACGTGTGAGGATCTACGTAAGGGAGGTAATCCACGAGCTGAAAAAGGAGAATAATGACGTCCGGAGGTTTAAATTCACGATTGATAATACGTAGCATGCGACGCTAACGAATTCCCAAAAGCCACTTCGGTACATCCAACCATTAGGTCTAATTCGAACTTCATCGATTGTTTTCATTATACCATTTGACATTGACAGTACAATAACAATCATCATTCCTTTAATACCGGCATCGTTACGACCCACCGCAGTTTGATAATCAATCCGACCTCCCCCATTGTCCGACTCGGCCAATTTATAAAAAACCCTAGTCGAAAGAACCACTCTTCCCTACTCGAGGCAATTAACGATTGTTTTTCTTGCATCTAATTAATGAGGAATTTAGATTGATTTTTTTTCCTTACGATAATCCAAAGTTTGTTCATTACTCGGTGGTTTGGAGTCCGCAGCAACCGTTCAACCTTCCGATTGGCCATTATCCGATGAGCTGCAACAATGCGAAGTTGCTGTGGCGTTTTAAATAAATCACGTGACGACCGGTTTCGCGTCAAACTATCTTTAACTAGCAAAGTTAGAACGAATCGACTGTAGATAATTGGGTGGGAGCGGATTTATAGAAATTTTTCTTTCTTTATTGTGCACTTCGGGGCAGAGAGGCGAGGCTTCGGCAACGTTTTCAACAAAAGTTGGCGGTTTACGTACGGGAAAAAACTGCCCCGCTATCTGTCTCACTTCAACCATCGAAACGACGTCTATCTATACAGCCATGAAGAAAAAGCTGACGGCGTTTATTCACTTCTTTTAATTAGTGTTTTTGGTGCATTTTGGGTGCATAGCCACGAGCTCCGCTCGCTTTTAAAAAACAAACGCCCGAAACTTTACCGCTTGATTCCATCTTTACTAACAACTGTCCAGGATCGATTTGTCATTAACCTGTTTTATAAATCTCGATTCATCAGCACTCATGCAAACGCCTCGACCGTCACCTCCCCTGCCCTTCACCTTTCCGGAGGAAAGTCTGTTAATTATAGGGTGTTGTATGGCAGATGAGCTTATTGTACGCGTTGATTGTTGTGTACCAGATTGGAAAATTAACTCGACTTGGACGGTTGAAGCTGCGACGAACTCCTTAATACAACCGACTCGTCTGATAGGGGTATGATTTAATCACGTCGAGGGTGGGCAGGTCGTGAATTAATTCCATAATAACTCGGCTATATTGTAAGTTTCACTACCGCTAATGGAATTCGGTAGGTGTTGTCGGATGATAGTAAATGGATGAACTAGGTACGACCTAAACCGCAATGTTTCCATTTTGTTCATCCGGAGGCCTTGATTACATCCGACGCGGTGACGTGGGGTTTGCACACCTATCGAAAGGGGTCATTTTAATAATTAATTAGGAAGCGAGAGTTCGAACGAGTTTCGATGTAAAGTTTTTTCAAGAGGGACGCCCTCGTATGATTTTTTATGTGTGGGCTTGATTTGTGGGCGGCGAGTGGTTATTCCAAAGGGAGGGGTATGTAGCGTCTGTGGGATGAAGCACGGAAAAGTAAATACTGATAAAAAGAGATACCAGTTTTTGTGTTACGTGGAGGCGAACAATAAATTGAATTTTTATAAAAAATAAAAAAAAGTAATGCTGAAGGGGTGCTTTCGGAGTTTGAGATGTCTAGACGGTTTAACGATCAAGAGCCATTAGAAGATTGTTTTGTTTAAATCTAGACAAACGATTCTCGATACCGTAATTAGCTACTAGAACTTCCTTACAAGTCTTGCATTTAAACGCACGCGCTAGTTCCTAAATCTGAACTTTTATTTTCGGAACTGTGCTATCGAAGACGCTCTCACAACTTTTCCTATAATTCTCTCATAATAATTGTTGGAAATACGCCCGCGTTTCATCCAGTAAAGAGCCTGCGTCGATCGAAATGAATACTTCATGACCTAGAAATACCCTAATAGAGAATCTGAAGAAAATTTTGACATGGAATCCATACGCTAGAACGGGTAAAATATTAAACTCATTTCGTTAAATTTTTTCGTCGTTTTCTATTTGCATTGTATAGGAACATGTGCGCCCCTGCATGCACTATACGAACCGATCCAATATTCTCGACGTCACCGAAATAATTTTGCAAGAAACAGCTCTCACACCAACGGAAACGTCAAAGATACGTGATGGCTTCATAGAGAACGAGGGGACGCGAAGTGACTTTGAAACAAGTGTCGATAAACGCAAGAATGAAGCCCAATAATTAATGAGTCTGTTTGAAAGAAGAGAACCGCAGAGGGAACTTGCGTTCGAGGGGAGAGCAGAACGCTTTCGTGATCGTTGATCCTACGTATTGTGAATCCAGCGACGTTGTCCTGGATTGAATCGAAATTTTAAGAATGCCGTGAAATTTTCTGCGGTTTGTTTAGATACAACAAGATTTTGATGAGAGCAATACAATCGGGTTGAATTGAGTGGTCGGAGTTTTACTTCAATTGTGAAAGCAGTGTTAAGAGGCCAAATAGAAATATAAGTAGATAATCTAGGTGATTGTAGATTTGGTGCCGTGACCAGGATTGCGACCGATATAAGCATGCATCCTTTTATCCCCAAAAAGGGAAGGGAGGCTGTGTATGTTCTAATATCTTACGGTCAGTCTGTGCTCTCAATCTTCTCGAGGTATGAAATTTTGATGTTGTCTGTAAAGACGTCACGAGTCACCAAGAGTGAGACGAACTGTACTAGTGTACCGTATAACGTAGTCCTTTTGTAAAATTTTAAAGAGTTTATCCCATTTACCGCTATATAGTTCTGAATTAAACTGTAGCAGGAAAGACTTATTTCTCAATTCTCGAAATTTCATAACTAAAGATCAAATGGATCTGCTCAGATTTATTGTACTTTTTTAATTTAATTTTGTCGGATGTGGGCCAAAACAGCGATCCGTTTTGTCTTCTCTATTATACATTTTAATCAGGGGACGAATCCACTTGATCTTTATGTCCACGCCCGGCATGTTTTCGTTCAAGTAAACGCAAATAAATAAGGCAGAAGTGCACTTACCGTCCGCTCCCCGAGGATCCGTCGGTGCCGCCGCCAAGAATCCGATTAAACCCTTAAACCGTCTCTGCGTTCACTTGTTCCGATTTATCCGTGCCGGTTCAACAGCTCAGCAAGAACGCTCGTCAACTCCTCGTTCCGACGATATAATCGAAAAGCAATCTAGTTTCGCGGGTGGCTAATGGCAGCCACTCGAGATGGTAATCTCTGCATCTGCATGTACAAGACGCGGGCCGGTCGGCGGCGCGCCGAACCTGCGCCGCGACGCTCTCTCGCCGCCGCCGCCGACGTCCAGGTCCCTCGCACGCGCTTCGTCAGTAGTGGCCACGCTACCGGCGCCGAAAGCACACGCACCCTCTCCGCCGCCCCGAGCACGTGTGTACCATTCAGTACCCAGAGATGGTCCCGTGAGAGCCGCCGCCGACCCGCCGTCGTCCCCCAATGGTACGCGCCGCGACCGCCGACAATGAGGACATGTCGGTCCATGTTCATCTCTAACCACCGGAAGAAAGGGCGCTTCGACCACGATGGTTGGCAGGAGAACCACGAATTGTCGTCGATACCGACCTGTCGATTCTAGTTCAATTTTATGAGTGTAGTTGTTGTTAAGTCGACGTTTTGTATTCATAGGATGTCGTAGTGGTGCAGTTTCGTGTTTTTCCGACGAACTTCCATAACGTGTTGTATTGTTGTAATTTTGAGCCCTTTTACGGGGTGGTGACGCATCCCCTCAAGTCCAACTGTGATTCTCCGTAGTGGTGGTTTTTAGTTGGTTTTTTAGTTTTTGGATTTTTGAAGTGTACCTGTGATACGATTTACGCTCCGACTAGAGGATACCCAAAGGGTTTGCTATATCTTTTCTCTTTTATTCTTGATCTAGGTAGATGATGACGTTCCCCGGCATTTTGACTGGGGTTCCGCTCTTGGCCGTCGTCATCCTAGCTACTGCTGGCCAAGTCTTCTCAAACGGTGAGTAACTTTCTTATTTTACTTTAAGCGAAGAAAGGTCTGGGTTAATGGGAAACTTTTCTGGATAACGAGAACTAAAGCGGGTTCTAATTGTTTTTATAGATTAAAGATTTATCGAGAAAAACTTAACCGGCTAAAATCATTAGAGCAATAGAAGTTGCTAAAAAATGTACAGGTTTCATGAATTATGGAGTAATGTGAAGGGGGAAACTTTTGTACCTGCTGCAAAAAATATAACCTTATTAACTCGAACATAAAAATACGTATTTCTTTTAGGGCAAGTATTTCATTAACGTGCCCATTTATGAAGAAAGCAAATAAAACCTACGTATTTTTAACGTTAAACGCGTAGGCGTCATGGAACGATTTTTAATATAAATTTTTTAATATAACAGATGGAAATAGTGATTCTGAGCTAGACACCTGCAGAAAAAAGTTGCTACTGGAGAAAACAACATAACTTTATTTCTTGCCTTAAATGCCGTCTTGTAACTTGTTGTAGATAACTCTACAAAACCCAGTAGTTTTAGACCTTTCTGTCAAGATATCCAGAAACGTCGCCCCCGCCCCTTGACCACACCTCTTCATCTCGACGACGAATGCACTCAAGACCCTCCAGCAGACTTCAATTACTCGCAAAACAACAGATGTTAATAAAGCCGGTTTAGCTCCTAAACGATTCTTCGACTACGACGCCAAAAAACCCACCCCTTCTGGTTTAATATCTGCAGTGATATTTTTCCAAACATAAGAGAACGCGAAAATCCGGAATAAATTTGACTAGGAGAGAGCGTATTCTGAATTTCATAATGTTCGGTTGAGCTTTAAGCTCCTCCACGTCGAGATTATGTCCTCTAGTGGCGGCTGAAACTCTTTTTTTATACCCGACGACAAAATATCGCCCATCGCACCTCTAACCGCCCTATTATTTATTTCGGCAATTTAACTTCATTGCAATTTACGATTCCACGGCGCCCAGTCTCAGATAATTTAATTCTTTGGAGGGACGTTCGGAGCTTTTTTCGAGAGAGGAGAAAAATCGCGCGATTGCCAGGCAAATTTTCTCGGCTCGGTGTCTGACGTAAATCAGAAAAAAAGAAACAAAAAAATTGTGGGGATTATGGAATTTGTCGCCGTGGAGGAGCGCGAGAAATTAGACCCGGGAATCAAAAGTCAAATTGCTGGCGGGAGGGATTTAGAGGGAGGGGAAGCGTCAGAATATTTGTTTATTGGAGAGCTTTTCGTTTCGATTTAGTTAGGTCTACAAAGATCATTTTTTATGGCGTTGTGTAAGTAAGTTGGAATTTAAACGGGGAGTTGGTGCCGTGACCAGGATTAGTCTTACGAAAAATATAATCACAACGTGTTTGGTTTACAATCGGTAAATATTTTCAGCTAATCAGTTTAGCATCACAATGTACATAGGTGGACTGAGCGAAGCTCATGACTCGTCGTTTTGTTTTAGAAAAAATGTGATTTCCATTTAGTTGTCGCCTCAAGTTGGGCTGTTTCTTCACTGTAAAACATGTCGAGGTAACTATAGGATTTCTTTTGAGTGGGCAAAGAAACGGGCCCCTTTGACACTTGCCCGTCTTTTTCGACGCCCCACTTTCGAACTGCTCTGCCACTTCGGTATAGGAGTCTTCAGGTAAGGACATCTCGGTTCGAACACCGGCGTCGCAGTGTTATTAAAGGCCCCTCTATTGACTGACGGTTACTTGGGGAATAATAAATATTTGAATGTTGAAATAGGACTCGTCTCAGCCCGATGCCTGTCCTGAACTGTATATGCGGACCCACATCGACTAAGTGCCCGATAAATTATTCACTAGCCGTTAATTTGGAACGTTTTCCATCCACTTCGAAATTACCCCGTAATTTTTCATCAGAAAGGTCCTTTTTTAGTCCAGGCCAGAGGTTATCCCGCGATTAATTTATTCAACGGTCGGTGGAAATTTTTCAAGTCCCGTTTTGTGGATTGAAATAGATCTCGATTGAATTTTTTTCTCTTTCGTTCATTTCGTGTCGATCTTTTTTTACCCTTCGTGCTTTTCTATAATTGGAACTATTTTTACCGTATGTAGTGTGTTCTAAGGAAGTGATCGATAGCCCCACGACCCAGCTAATTACGGGCCGCCATTTCAATAACTCAACGAAATGAAGATATTTTCGATTAAATTTATCCATTAAGTAATAAATTACGATACAATGTAAACCATGAACCAATTCATTTTCAGTTATTTCATTTCATTGTCAGTCAATACCGTTCCGTTCCATATGGAGTCAGTAAATATGCGCCCCAATTGAAAACGCGCTCGAATTGTCCAAAACGATCACGAGTGCCGGAAAAACCACCACTTGGTTACGTCAGTGTCAACCATTTTTACTCATTTGGTTTATTAATGTCGATGCAGGTGAAAATTACGCCTCGTATTGCACAACGTTTTGCTTTTAGTGTGCGCATTGATTTATTGGCAGATTCACTTAGATATTCATTTGCTAGCGACAGAGTTCTGGCGGTAAAGGAATAAAAAAAATCGCTTGATCTGTGAACTGAACCAAACGAGAAACTTTGTTTCACGCGTTGTGTTACTGCAGTTACCTGTATTGATGAAAAGCAGGGCGTCATCCATACATATGTCTACAGCGACCGTCTATTAAATTGTCGCCTTAATATAAAAATAGAAAAGTTTTGTGACAGGTTTATTACCCCGCGGAAATAGTGGAGTTGCAAAGGAAAATCGTTGTAATAACTGTCGAAGATAAAGTTAGGAGTTTGTATTAATGTACGTGATAGTTGTTCGACGTTTTTGTGTGTCGCAAGAAATGTCCTCTTCACTGCATCCTATTATCAAAAAAAATCAAAGCAAATCTGTGTGGTGTAGATATAAACGAAGATACTCCTTTTTTAGTTCTTCAGCTGCCTCAAAGGCTTTTGCTACCGACGCGTCTAATTTTCCGAGCGACGCCGACTTGGAATTGAAACGTCCCGTTCTTGGCGGCGTCTTCCTCGGTCGTCCACTGCAATAACAATCATTAAAGTAATTGATGTTGACACTAGAGAGGCGTCCTCTCGCCTCCCTCTCATTTCGTTCACAACCTCATGTACTGGGGGAACATTAACTAATTGATGTCATGTTACAGCAAGCCGAACTTGTTTCAAAATTCACTTGCGGATGGGTTTTCATAAAGCCGTAATTATATCTGTCTACACGGTGCGACTGTTGTTGTTGTCGGGCGAGTGCAGTGATTTAGCGTTATTTTGGTGTTATTTGAGAGTGGTCGTTTACATGCTTTTCAGCTTGATGAGGGAGTATCAGTTTGGAAGGGAGTCGCCGTTTGACAGCACCAGTCCACAGTTTAATTTTAGTGTGTTGTCAGTAGTTATTAAATGAGTGATAGTGTGGACGCGCTGAAAAATTTGGGAGCCTCGTCATTGTTTTGAGTAATTTGAAGCGTTGAACATTTATCGCAGAATTAAAACGGTATCTGTCCGTTTTCCCAGTCTCAGCGTTGTTGCTTCCCCCTCAAAATTATTAATTCAGCAAGATTTTTTTGTAAACCCCAGTAGCGGCACCAGTTTGCAGTCGCCGCATTTACGCCGTTTGCCCTCGCCAGCCACCTTGAACAGAATTTTCCAAATGTTGTCGGAGCAAACAATCCCGGCACTCCCTCCGCTAAAAATACCGTACCGGCGAAAAGGTGGACTCATAAAAAATAAAGATAAATCCTAAGCGTTCGGTTGATTGCATGATTTGTTTTCGGGGGTAAAAGTTCCGCTCGTGTATTATTCTTGATTTAGCAATATCCGGCCCGCAATGTTTTTCTTGTATATTATGACTTTTACCCGGAGCGAAATCGTTCCCTTCTTTCCCGGCCAACTTTTTAACAATCACACCGCCGCACTTTTTTCCTTCGACGTGAAACCGGCTTTTCTGAAAAGCACACACACACAACTGTTATTCTTGTCTAAGTGGCTGTTTTTCAACTCCACCGGCGAAATTAAATTTTCTGCAAAGAGATTTTTTTGTTGGGGCTTTATTCTTAATTCACCATTTCTGCAATTACGCCCTTATCAAATTAGTGGCCGTCTCTTGGGAAATCTTAGGTCGGAAACCAAGACGACGGGTTGAGTGTGTCGCCAGACAAAAATAAATCTCAATTGCGACCGCACTACAAACCGCAGATGTCTAATGAAATTGGCCATAAGTCACGTCATTTTCGTGGACCGGAGACCCGCCATTAGCTTGTTTGGCGTTTTGCGGCGGACGATGTCGCTGTGTTTTTTTAATGGGCCGTGCACAGGTTAATTTAATTAAATTAACGCGTCGGCACGAGACTGGGGCTGCGATTTAGGGGACGTTTTGCGCGGAGGGGCGGCACAGCCCTGGGCAATGCGCCAGATGAAATTACTCGCAGGAGTACACAGCTCCGCCGTCTTGGCCAGACTCACCGACCGACCACTACATCATAGTCACAGCTTCCGGTACCTACGAAAGGACTTTTTTAGTTGTGTCGAGAATCGCGATCCAAGAGTTGGTGCCGCGACCAGGATACTTCACTAACGACCAGAGTCGAGACATAGTACAACCTATTTATCCTCATTCCAAAAATGATATAAGGAGCAAAGTGGGATTTTAGCGATGTATTAAAGAAAAACGGTTCGATTGAGAAGTGCATTTGGTGCCGTGACCAGGATCTCTTGTAAACGGACGGTCCCGTTTTGGCGGCAAACTCTTTGTCCTCCTCCGGTGTCGCTCTTCTGTTTCATTTCTCGGAATGGCCCTACATTTCCTGGTCGCGGCCGGCTTTTAACGGTAATTGCCGGGTCGACGTGGCCGATGTTTGCTTTAAATCCCGAACTTTACAGAAATAAGCTTTTTATGTTTCTTTGTTGCGAACCGGTGCCGTGCGAGCGTACTCGATTAATACAGCATGAGACGCGCAAACGTTACACGAACGAAAATGACGACATAACACGCGATTCTCCTAGTGACATT